AGTTTACTTTCTTTACCGCCAGAAAACTCAGGATTGAATTTGTGGCCCATTCACAGTATGTAAGATGCATTTTAGCAATTACCTCATTTCTACTCCAGTCTGTAGTCCTCACTCTCTTTCTCCCCTCTTTTCTTTCTCAGATAATTCTAATTTAAATATTTTGTCTCCTTCGTCTTTTGGAGGAAAGATGGTAGGAATAAGTACAAATAAGCAAATATGAAATACTTAGGAGAGTAAAGTAATAGTGTCAACTTCAAAAAAAAAATCTATCCTAAAAATGGATTTTAAAAAAAACCTCTTTTTAGTCTCTACTAAACAAGTACTTTTTCTTTTCCTATCTTAACATTCAAGCTCTGGATGGGGAAAAAAAAAAAAAAAACTGATGCAGTACTTTAGTTCTTTGAGCCCAGTTTGTTTGTTTGTTTTTAAGCTGTTAGGACTGAACACAGAAAAGTAATGCTTATAAACGAGGGTATGGCATGTGCCACCTGGCATATGCAGAACTTACTTGAGCAACTAAATATCTTAGGTGGTATTATCTCAAAAACAAATTCATTTTAAACAATAAAATAGACTTTCTTTTGTTCCCAGCCCTGCACTTATGATCTCAGCTCATTAAACTTTCTAAAAATGACTGTATATTATGTTTTAATCAAGCCTTTATGTAATACAGATCCAACTGCAATCCAGACCCTAGTTCTCATTTGGAAGACAAGTTCTATTCGGAAAAAAGTCTTAATTTAAATGTTAAAAACAAAGATACTACTGGTGATGCTGAAAATAAACTGTCACTATATTAGGTTAAAATAATCTTTTTGAATTTAATTTCTGGAACTAAATTAAGAACAAACTTAAATTACTCTGCTAATGTTACTGTTATCTTATGGCAGATGTATGAGCATTAATGGAAGACAGAAGAACAAAGGAGAGTTTCTGAGAGAGGACTGGGCATCTCTGCCAAGGCTGATATGGCACACAGATATGTCTCATCTCTTTTTGTGGACGCCCAATCATCTGGGTACTCAGACACACAAAATTATAGTACTAAAAGAAGAAGTTTTGTATGTTGTCATTTTTCAATCACTACCATCATCATTATCAATCTATCAGGTTCCCTTCCTATCTTGCAGTCTGTTATAACAGATACACATAACAAGACAGTGTATATATATATATAATTAGATATTTTCCATTTAACTTTTATTTTACAATGGCCCAATTCTTAAATAAGTGAATCTATGAATGTGACCTTTTAGCTCTTTATTTACTAAATACTTGAATGAAATGAACCACATTCATAAATTTGTATGCAGGTATATCTCTTATGTACTTCTTTTAGTATCACTCAAGACACGTCACTGTTACTTTCCTCAAAACCTCCTTCACTGGAGTTACTATTAGATTCTTGTATGCATTAAAAAAAAAAAAGAAAAAGAAAAGCCCAGGGGAACATTGCTGAAAGTTTTAATGGAATGAAATCAAAAGAAAAATTTTATGAATTAAACACATGTTTTAGTTTTGACAGCACGGTGAACAAAGGTGAGTAAAATCCTTGAATAAATTCCAAACAAGACCTAAGTACTAGGCGAAATAACAGCAACAATAATTATCATTATTGTTATTATACTTATTTATTGAAGGCTTACTGTGACAGGAACTGTGCTAAGTATTTTATACTAATTATCTCATTTAATTCGCATAACAACCCAACGAGATTTATACTGCGGTATTGCCATTTTACACATAAAGACATTAAGGCTCAGGCAAGTTAAGTAAATTTGTCTGGAGTAACACAGCTGAAGAAATGAGGGGGCTGGGATTCAAACCCAGGCCATGTGACTCTACCACCAGTGCTGTTCTATCGCACTAGAGTGTAGCATGATACAACTCTCTTAGCAAGTTATGAACAAAAACTAATGAAATCCCTTATTAAATGATCCTTAGATCAGTTCAGAGAAAGAGACAGCCCTAGCTTACATTTCAAATACCCAATGTTTGCATCCTTACCCTGGGTGCGAATTAAAAAGTACTGAGATATTTCTTCATCTTTGAATCTTCAGCACTGGCACAGTGCACAACACACAGTAGATGCTCAATAAATGCTTGTTCATTAAGTCAATAAATTAATGAACAGAATTTAGTCATTGGCTTTACAAAAGAGTAGAAATGGCAAATGTATTCAGGAGTCTGATGAAGTCATAGGAAGAAGTTTTTCTTTTAACACCACAATGCCAATTATTTCTCTTTTGTAAATAAGATCTAGCCTTTATTTTTCTGAAATCAACTATAAGTGAACTGTATCTTAAGACAATGACAATCCCCACAACATAATACTTTGTAGGGACATGACTAGTTGGGCAATTTAAACAGATGTAGTTGAAGTCCCTGGGTGGTGCAAATGGCTAACGTGTTCACTGGAGGTTCAAATCCACCCAGAGATACCCTGGAAGAAAGGCCTGGAAATCTACTTCTGAAAAATCAGCCACTGAAAAACCCTACGGAACACAGTCCTACTGTGACACACATGGGGTCACCATAAGTCAGAGTGGGTGACTAGCGGTAGCTGAACTGTAAAACTATTTAACTTTTTAAGATGTTAAAACATTTTAAGTTGTAAACAAGTGATTATACTCAAACACAAATCTAAGTGAAAATTTATGAGTCTAGGGGGTGCGTGTGGTAGTTTTTAAAAAGTTTAAATTTCCATAAAATCATTAAAAATCATAACCTAATAATAGTACCTGCCAAGACAAAAACATCCAAGTAGCTCAACTTTTTAATGCCAAGATCACCTCTGGAACTAGAAACCAGATGTGACGGCAAATTCTCAATTTCTAACCTTCAGCTTCCCAGAGGTCAAGAGAAAGAAGTCCGCTGCTCAGCTCTACCAACACTGGCTTTTTAGGTTACTGGATAAGGACATAGGGTTATACCTAGTTTTATCAATATTGCCATGAATAAAGTACTAGTCCTCTAGTAAATTTCTACATGTCTCCAATACCCAGTAAAAGTAAACCTGCAGCAACCATGCAAAAATTATAATTTTTACTTGAAGTTATTTATTTGCCTTCTTTTATCATGGAAGCAGTCTAATCCTAAGGACAGTATATATTTAAGTTGGTATTTACACAGCCTGAATGTTTTATAACATAGTAATAAAATTGCACTGTTCTTGTACAGTTCCTAACATTATTTTATTTATGCTTAAAAACGGTAATTCAGAGTTGGTTACTCTTTTATGATGAAATAGATGGCTTTTTACAGTAACTATCTCTTTGTAACATTTTTATCAGTACCTTAATCTGCCAGAATCCACTTACCTATCTAAAACAAGGACCTTAAAAGAACAAGTAACCTTAAAGAGCACAAGTTTTTTTTCTAAATAATGTAAATACGGTGATCATTTTTAACTAATTGATTCCCCAATGTCAATTGAGTTATTAAAAATATTTGATAATTTAACTTTATAGTTCAAATATCAAATAACTTTTCATACATCTTTTATCTTTGCTTTTTGGTTCCAGGAACAGAATACAATCAGTTAATTTGAGTGAAAGTCTGAAACCACTACATACGTGGTTATGCTTTGAAACGAACCAAATAAAAAAATTATTTTCAATCTTTAATATTATAAACTTCAAAATGACTATATGTACACCTAACAAGAAACCTAAGGAGCCCTGGTTGGCACAGTGGTTAAGCGCTCAGCTGTTAACCAGAAAGTCAGCAGTCAAACCCACCAGTTGCTCCGTGGGAGAAAGATGTGGCTGCTTCTGTAAAGATTACAGCCTTGGCAACCCTATGGGACAGTTCTACTCTGTCCTATAAGGTCGCTATGAGTCAGAACAGATTCGACAGCAACAGGTTTTTTTTTTTTTTGGTAACAAGCAGCCTACAAAAAATCAGCTCTGACATGGATTTAATGTCAAATCTCCCTTCATCTTTTTCTTTATTAAATTCCAGAAAAATTTTCAAACTCTATAAGCAAACAGTATTCTTTACCATAGTGGCAAAAATTTATCAAGGAGCTTGCACATCATCATCTTCACTCCAGTTGTCATCGAGTGATTTCAACTCATGGCAACCCCATGTGTTTCAGAGTAGAAATGAGCTCCACTGGGCTGTCAATGGCTGATTTTTCAGAAGTAGATCACCAGGCCTTTCTTCTGAGGTGTCTCTGGATGGACTTGAACCACCAACCTTTCAGTTAGTAGCCAAGTATGTTAACTGTCTGAGCCACCCAGGGATTCCCTGTGACATCTAGGGAGATGTAATTCACCACAACACTAAATGCACCACAGCTCATCTTCTAAGCATTTAAAAATGAGCTGTCGCCAGCCTTATACAAATGGCAGTTTACTTAACTTTAAAAGAATATTTCATATAGTTTGTGATTTTTTTAGTGTAACTGAACCATTAATGTGTATTACAATACACTTTAAGTAAAAATACCCATAGCATCCCTAGTTTAAACAATTTATCCCATATCCTTTTTTGGAAGCAGATGGAATAGAATCTTATTTATAAATGGCCAGTCAATTCTATCACATTGCCTTTTAGTTCTTCACTGTCATAAAATACAAATAAGTCTTAACTGAGTGAAATCTCTTGTTGGCACAAGGGTTCAACTACCTCCCAGCCAAACAAAACCTAACACCAGCAGATGACAGTAATATGTGCTTGTTGAACAAGGGGGAAAGAATTATCAACAATCAAGATGCTACTGTTTACTCAATTCAGCAAATTATTTTTTCCTTGGTTGGGTTGTATCTAAATATTTTCCTTCTAACTTTAAACATGGAAGTAACTAAGTCTTATAAATCTCTGAACCACTCATAAGCCACTGGCAACTCAAATAACAAGTAACCTCCACTCCCTCCATACACACACAGAAACAAACAAGTATGTGAAAATCTGCCCTCTGAGATTTCATCTGAATACGTATCTGTTTCCTTGAATAGTACAGTTAATACAGTAAGAAGAAAAAGACAAAAATCTACCAACTAGGCTGCGCTGCCATCCTCTCCATGTAGTCTTTGGCCATGTCTCGGGCTTCAATGTTCTCAGGATACAGCACACAGAACATTGCCAAGGCACCCAAGTTGTTCCCATAAATTTCATTCCAGCGGGCACTGTAGTCCTTGGGATCCCAGGGAGGGAGGTACTCCAAGGGGCTGGACAGCATGGTGTGCACGGCCTCGGTGAGTCGGGCTGCAATGTGCTCGTGCGTGTTGGCGGCCCTGAGCTGGAGCTCTGCCACCTCTGCCCTGGAGAAGTACAGCATTGGGTGGTTGTCGTAGTTGGCATTTGTGAAGGGAATCATGACTTCTGGGTTCTCGTCGGTGATGTAGGCTGACGCAAAGCAAAACAGATATATGAAAAACACACTGGGAGCCCCCCGTGTGTGAGTCCTCATCGTGGCATCAGATCTCCAAATCTCCAAGGCAGCCAAACCATCTTCGAAAGATCCTACAGGAGGAAAAGAATATGTCAACCAAGGAAACAGAGCACTGTAGGAAATATACAGTAGGCAGGGATCTAGCTTACTTTACAAAATTGATACTACTGGAAAAAAGATTAAATATTGAAAAATAAATTTTATGAATTTAGATCTCTGGGATTCAACAAAAACTTGCACTAGGAAGAAAACAGCACTTGAGAAAACTTACTAAAACCTAATTAAGTTCTGGTTTTATAAAACTAAGGAAACAGGGGTTGACACACTTAGCTGCTGACTGGAAGGTTGAAGGTTAGAGTCCACCAGAGGTGCCTCAGAAGAAAGGCCTGGCGATCTACTTTAGAAAAATCAGCCATTGAAAACCCTACAGAGCACAGTTCTACTCTGGCACACATGAGGTCATCACAAGTGGGGGTTAACTTGATGGCAACTGGTTAAGGAAACATGATAAATCAGATATGTATTTATTGTATAAAACCAAACTTAGGCTTGGGAAAACAATATTTACTCAAAGTAGGAAAAAAAAAAACCTCTCCTTGGCATTCCTTTCACATTTTATCACACAACAAGAGTTTACATTTTATTTTCTTCGATATTAATAAATAAACCACACTAGCCAAAAGCTGGTGGTGAAATACCTTCTGGAAATTTGAATGGACATTGTGAAAAAGAGGGAAAATCTTGTATTTCTTAATATAGCCTCCTTCACTCTGAACTTCTCCCCTCTTCCTATCATTCTACATTCTGAGGTAGGGATTAGGATCAATAGGATCTATAATAATGTAAGCAGATAAAAGATTATGAATAATGTTAAATATCCCCTTTGTGTGGGCCAAAGGCAGGGACAGAGAAGATGAAGGTAGCGCAGACGTCTGCCAAGCCCGGGCACCCCTGGGCTGACATCAGCAAGTGTGCAGTGAAACAGCAGACACTGGGCCACTGGTACTCGAAACTGTTTGACATTATCTTCATTCAGAAAATAAAATCCCAGAGTTAAAAGGCTAATCTAACATGAATGCATTTTCTCCTTATTATTTAACACTACTATTTTTCATTTTGTATATGGGATTTTTGTGTCATTCAATAAGTCAGAAATTTAAACCAAACACATATTTTCTTAACTACTTTTCTTAAACACCCCCTTTTCAGTGGCAGATTTGCTCACAGGTTAAAAGAATGTCTTTCAAATGTAGGAACATAAAAAGAAAAAATCTTCAGCCAAGTCTGTGTCCCACATCTGGGATAAAGCAGGCATAAAATCCCCCAGAGGAAAGTCAGGGAATTCCTAAAATTCTTAAGAGGGGAAAGGTTACAGAAAGCAGGCCAGAAAAAGACAGTTTTATATAAATAATGAACAGTAGTTTCCAATTATTAAAAGGAGAAACTGATGGAGAAAAACCAAACTCCCAAGCTGATCACAAAGTATTTTTCCAAAAACTGCCTCATCACAAACAGAAAAGAAAAACTAAGAATTTAATAAAAAATAAAAAAAAAACCAAACCCACTGCCGTCGAGTCAGTTCTGACTCATAGTGACTCTATAGGACAGAGTAGAACTGCCCCACAGAATTTCCAATGCTGTAAATCTTTACGGAAGCAGACTGCCACATCCTTCTCCCATGGAGCGCCTGGTGGGTTCGAAGAATTTAACACACACTGCAAATCAATCCACATTCCAACCTTGCTGAATTTCCAAGAGAAAGGCACTACAGCATCATTAGCAGATGTTACCTTAAATTATGCTATTTTAAATATTTCTAAACATGCTTTGAGCTAGAAATACAGAACTCAATGGCATTTTAAATTTATCTCAAGATGATAACGTGTGATGTATAAATAAAATTAATTTAGCCATGCTAAATAAGACATATGAAACAGAAATAACTCTTGGACTCTACCCATATCATGTCTAGCACCCAAAGCTTCAAGGCAGCTGGCTGGATCCTTCAAGGTCAGAGACACAGCCAAAAGAAACAGTCTTCTGTGGTTATGTCTGAGGAAGGGTGTGGTCTCTGGTAACACAGAGACACGGTGGGGCTGAAGTAATGCTCAGCCTCCTGGGCCCTTACTCCTCACCTTTTTCAGAGAACAATACTGCTAACAACATTTTTTAAAAAATCAAAATAAATTAACAAATTCTGTATATATTAAATTCCCAAAAGTCTAAGACTGGATGCAGTCATCACTACAATTAGCATGGTGGGGGTTTTAGACATCCAGGGTGAAGATGGGTTAGAAGTTTCTCCTTCAATTGCCCCTCACATGTATAGGACTCAAATCTTCCTCAACTTTAGTTTCTGAATGTGCAGGAGCTCAAGTTACGGGTAGAGACGACGGGGGTGGCTCACGCACTGGGGGGATGGGTGAGAAGATATGTGGAGACTAGAATTCCTTCACTCTGTACACACGTTCCCTAAAGGTAGCTAAGATTAATTTATTCTTCTTCTTCTTCTTTCTCCTCCCCTATGTATACCTCCCTCCTACCCAGGACCCTGTAACTGAGATAGCCAGGGCTGCTCCAAAGAGTCCCTTACAGTGTAGGGTCTACATGCCTACCCTGACAAAACTCATACTGTTATTCCAGCCACTTCTGCCACATTGCTTCCATTTATGTAGGACATGCCTGAGTATACTTAAACAAGAAGTGTTGATCCTAAAGCACAGAACCTCATTAAAATGTTGATTTGGGAATGATGCCATCTCAATGTGCCAACTGTTACTGAAGGTTTCTTGGTTATTGCTTCAAATTCATGTGAGGCTGACAGGACAGAAACGCTATGAATTACTGCATATTTAAAATAATTCTTGTTGGGATGCCGTGTGGGCTGATGCAGAACCCAAAGAAATGCTGCAGAACGATTGTCTACAAAGACTGCCTGAGGAAAAGGGACCACGGTGGCACAAACCATGTGTTGCCTTCCTCACGTTCTACTCAACATGCCCAGCTCTCCTGCTCTCCCAGCTACTAAGGCCTTTGCTGATCCAACCAAAGAGTTCATTTCTCCTGTATCTGGCACATACCTGTATCACACTGGCTGTTTCAACTGTTTATGTGCCTCACAGAAGGCAGGATCATAGTTTCATCTTTACATCACAAGCCTTAGCACTGGGCCTGGCATATAAAAGGCAGCTCACAGACGGCTGGTTGAACTGAACTAAACTCTAGGGCTTACGAGCCGGTAGAGTATAGCCCATCACTAAACTGAGCAGAGAGAAACCATGTTCCCTCTTACTTGAAGCTAAGTTTGGGAATTTCCAGAAAAAATTTAGTTAGCAAACTAGAGGGGAAAACACTCAGAAAGCCTAGAAACTCACAGAGCTTAAAAGCTATTCAGTAGTTTTTGTCAAATAAAAGAAATCAAACTTAACGAAAGTGTAACCCATATTTGCTTTAGGTTGATAACCTAAAAAAAAAAAAAAACCTGTTGCAATCAAGTCCATTCCAACTCATAGCAACCGTACAGGCCAAAGTAGAACTGGCCCATGGGGTTTCCAAAGAGTGGCTGGTGGATTTGAACTGCTGACCTTTTGGTTAGCAACTGGAGCTCTTAATCACTGTGCCACCAAGGCTAATAACCTAAAGGAGAATTAATTCCCATCCATCACTTTAAACCTATCTAGAAAACACCACTGAAAAGGCCCTATTTCCAGTCTTTGGATTTACCCCTTGACCTTTAAAATTCAGTCTTCCCTCTCTGTTAAAAGAGGAATTAAAATTAAATGAAAGGATTTCTCAAGATAATTTTAGGTGGACCAAGGATGGACAGGTTTTAATGCTAATTTTAGGTACTTATTTCAATGTGGATTAGAAAAAATTATAACTAGCACATCAAACGTGACATTTCAACAGAATAAAATTTGTTTTAAGTACATTTAACCTTAAGTTTAAACAAATAAAGGTGATAAATGGATATGACAAAAATTGTTGAAGGTGATGCCTGAATGGCAAAAGTTTGGGAAATGCTGAAAATATTGAGTGAAACAATAGCCATTAAAGCCAAATGAGCTTACCAGAAAAGCCAAGCCCAACCCTCCGGCTCTACTCCCCGACCATCACTCACTCGCGCGCACGCACGCACGCACGCACACACGCACACACGCGCACACACACACACGCGCGCACACACACACACACCCCCCTTAGAAAAGCAAATCTTTACTTTCGCATGTTTGTGGATGATCTCTCAAGCCATTCTCCCCCTAGCTTATTGTGTTCCAGACAGAGTAGGGCACTGTCAGCTCCTTTAAATATTTAGGACGACCTGAGACAGTTCAAGAGCAGGCATTTTCAATATGGCAAATCCACGACGTATCCTCAGCCATCAACTCTATTAAGACAAACATGTATCCCCCACTTTTAGAAAGTTCACTTTATACCACTTTGCTTTTACAAAAGACGTACATTAATATCTGTTTTTGCTAACCCAAACATCTGAAGAAGATATTCGCTTTTACAAAAAAAGGCAAAAAGTGGAAATAGTTTTCCTCATTTGTTTTGCAGAGAGCCGCCAAAGAGGCAGCATGCAACCTGAGCAGCTCCTTCCTGAGAACTACACTCAGCATCTCAACATCAAGTCACCATAGTGTTATTTTAGGTTTTGTGTGTTATTTGATATGATCTGGTGGATTATTCTGGGGATCTGGGGATGCTCAAAAAAAAATTTCCCATATAAATTAATAATTGCTTCTTCATTTTACGCCATTTTGGCTTATGAAAAGTTTCATAGGAATGGTCTACTTTTAGATAGAAGGGGAAGCCTGTAGTTTATCCATAATTCAACTCAGGATTTTTCTGAATGATCCTACTGAGCCTCATTTCCCCTGAAGTTCTTTCATTCCTTTTCTCCTCCACTGTAGTACACTAAATTTCACAATCCAGCTCTCCTTCCCATTCATCTGTCTCATAGGAATACAGCTCAGAGAATGTAACATCCCTAAATTTGGTAAAGCTGTTGTTGTTGTAAGGTGCCATCAAGAAGGTTCTGACTCATAGTGACCCTATGTACAACAGA